AGGTGAGTGGCAAATGTTGTAGCAAAAGAATGCAAATGAAGGAAACACAAACTGTTGGAAGTTACCCAGTTGGAGATCCAATACTGCCATTGTTGAAGTCTGTAAACTTTCCTGTGAAACCGAGGTGAGGGGCCCAGCACTGTAGCCTAGCGGTTAAAGTTCTCTCCTTAAACATGCCAGGATCGCATTTGGGCACTGGTTCTAATCCCGGCGGCCCTGCTTCCCATCCAGTTCCCTGCTTGTGACGTGGGAAAGAAATTGAGTACGGTCCAAAGCCTTGGGACCCAGCACACACATGGGAGACCCAGAAGAGGCTCCTGGTTCCTGGCTTTGGATTGGCACAGCCCTGGACATTGCGGCCACTTGGAGAGTGAGTCAAGGAATGGAAGATCTTCCTCTCTATCCTTCATTCTCTCTGAATACCTGACTTTACAATAAATAAATATTTAAGAAAAAAGAAAATCATGTGACAACTTTGAGTTTCAATTTTTTTCTTTTTTTTTTTTAAGGATTTATTTTATTTTTATCACAAAGTCAGATACAAGAGAGGAGGAGAGTCAGAGAGGAATATCTTCCATCTAATGATTCACTCCCTAAGTGACCGCAACAGCTGGTGCTGCGCTGATCAGGATCCAGGAACCAGGAATTTCTATCAGGTCTCCCACACGGGTGCAGGGTCCCAAGACCTTGGGCCGTCCTCGACTGCTTTCGCAGGCCACAAGCAGGGAGCTGGATGGGAAGTGGAGCTGCCGGGATTAGAACCAGTGCCCATATGGGATCCTGACACATTCAAGGCAATGGATTTAGTGGCTAGGCTGCTATTCCAGGCCCTCAATTTTCTTTTTTATATAACTCTTCAGTATACTTCATTTATATAAAGTGAACAAATTTGATGGGTTTCACAATACAAATTTAGCAGCATAGTGACATTTTCCACCCTAACCTCCATTCTGCCTGCATTGTCCAACCATTTCTCTTCATCCATCCTTCTTCTTTTTTTTATTATTGTTAATAACATTGTATTAATTTCGCAATGTCTTACCTTCGTTTCACTTTGCAGTCATATGCATAGCATTTTGTTAGACTCATGTTTCAACGTACAGCAAATAGGAAATAAAACTCCTGCTTCTCAAGAGAATAGACACAGGCTGTAAACAGTAATCAAACCAAATGAACATTTGACTCATAGGTAACATTTTTGGTATTCCATGCATTAGTTACCACAGATCATGGAAAACATAAGATATTTATCTTTTGGGATGCTAGTTTAATTTACTAAACATAATGGTTTCCAGTTGCATCTATTTTGATATAAAAGATAAGATGTGCATTATTTTATGGCTAAGTACCAGTCACTGGGGTGTGTGCGTGTGTGTGTGTGTGTGTGTGTGTACACATACATATAACACTTTCTTTAACCATTCATCCCTTGATAAACATCTGAATTACTTTCAAGTTCGTATCTTAGTTATTGTGAATTTTACTGCAATAAACCTTTGTGTACCATCAACTTTCTAATGCAGATTCCACTTTAGGTTAATTTCCAGGCATCTGTGGCTGGCTCATATAGTATATTTATTTTCAGATCTCTGAGAAATCTCCAAACTTTCCAAATGATTGCAGTTTTATTCTCATAAACAGTGGACGGAATAGCTTTTCTTTTATGATTTGCCTGCTTTTTAAAAATTAATTTAGCATAATGGACATTTTTGCTATGGTGAGGTGAAACCTTATAATTTTTATTTTCATTTACCTAATGGCTAGAGAACGTGAGCATAAAAACCGCTTGTTCATGCCCTTTGGCCAATTCTTAACTTTCTTGTTTGTTGTAGTTGAGTTTATTTTTAAAATTAATTTCTTTTCATTGAAAAAAGCAGATTTACAGCAGGAATGCAAGACAGAGAGAAATATTTTTCATCCCTTGGTTCACTCCTCAAATGGTTTCAATGATAAGAGCTGAGCTGATCTGAATGAGGTAACTAGGAACTCCTGCCTGATCTTCCACATGGATGTAGGGGCTGATGAATTGAACCATTGTTCACTGAAATTCCAGGACATAAGCAGGGAGCTACAGGGGAAGTGGAGTAGCCCACATGAACTAGTGCCAATACAGGATGCCGGCACATGCAGGCAGAGGTTTAGCAATCTGAGCCATCACACTTGACCCTATCATTGAGTTTTTTGAGCTCTTTATAGATCGTGGATATTAGTCCTCTGTCAGTTGCTTAATTTGCATTTATATTTCTCCATTCTATTGTCTGCACCTTCACTTTGATGACAGCATTCTTTCTAGATCAGAAGATTCTGAGCTTGATAGGATCTCGTTTGTTTAATTTCATTTAATTACCTTTGCTTCTTGGATCTTTTCCAGAAGTCTTTGACGTAGTGTCTGAGATCATAGACCAAATGGAACCTTCCCGTGTCAGGGTTGTTTCTCTGAGAAAGGACAGGGTGTGAGCTCTCAGAGATGAGGGACTTGTGCTGGCTGCTGTGGGGCTCATGCCACAGAGAGGACAGGTGAATCCACAACCTCCACATAGACAGGCAGCAGAGGACAGTGCAGCTGCTCATGTTCCCAGGTTGGATGGAGGCACTTGATACGACATAAGAGGAAGATAAATTTGTGCACTACAAGAAAACATTGGGTGTACACAGAAATATCCAAACTTTGGGGCTCGTGTTGCTCTGTAATGAATGAAACTGCATCCTGCAATGCTGACATCAAATATTGGAACATATCTGTGTCCTAATTGCTAAACACTTCCATTCCAGCGCCCTAATCGTGTGCCTGGGGAAAGAACAGAAGATGTTCCAAATATAGGAACCTCGACACCTACAGGGGAGACCAGGATGAAGCTGCTGGCTCTATTTTTGGCCTTCCCGTGGCCCTGTCCATTGTGTCCATTGGCAGGGTTTGTGGTGAGCAGAGCAGCCAGCTGCCATCTCTCCCTCACTCTTCTATAATGCTTTCAATGAAATAAACATGGAAACTAGGAAAATCAGAACCCATTGGTTCAGGTCCTTGTGTAATCTCCACAAAGAGAGAAAGAGTGAGGAGAGATTGAAAAAGAGAAAAAGAGAGAGAAACAAAATGTCTGCATCTTTGTAAAGCAAGCTCTCACAGAATCAACTGCAAGTGATCCCCAAACAGCCCTTGTCTCACAGCCAGCCTTTAGGGGTACACTGGAGTATGCTGGTGTCCTCCAGGATATGTTTTCCTTTTTCTGTCAGACATGCTGTGCAATGTTTATGGGAGAAGTGAAATAGTCAGCCTTGGGATGAGCAGGGGTTGAAGAATACAGGCCCAAATAATTCAAGAATCTGGTATAATGTGGAAGTGCAATCACTTCCTAGCCTGGGGTCCTCAGCTATTGCCAGGCCCTGGGGTCATCCCATCTGTGGTGAGTCAGTTCTGTTTTGGGTGGTTGCTGTGTGGAGGGTTCCTCTGTACCTAAAGCACTGAGCAGATTGCCTGAGCAGTGCATGGGCTTGCATGACAGTCATGCCTGTTACTGCAGTACCATGGAACCCAGGCCTGGCCACTCTCAAATATTGTTGCTGCTCTTCCGTTGTCGAGAGTGTATCAGAGAATATGCTGCTGAATGTGTGTGGAATCATCAGCCAAAGAGGGAATCCTCGTGAATTGAACATGGTCAAGATTCCTCCTAGAGGACATCCTGCAGTCTCTGCATGTGCAGGAGCGTTGTCGTAGAACTTACAGCTGCTAGATTTGGAGTCAGGGATCAGCTCCACCACACCCTCCCAACTGATGGTCCACCAGAATAACTCATAGTTAGGGCTTAACATTGGCAAATGATAGTGGAGATGAGCTCTCTACGGTGCTTTTCTAACAGGGTTAGCATCAGCATTTGTAGCCTGGCAGAATAATCCTGACCATGGTCTCGTGGCCTCACTGCCTGGGAGATTGCTCAGGAGAGCCCTGTGCTTAAGGGCCATCGAGCACTGGGCTCTGGCTCTGTGTTCCACTTCACTGGTACAAGCATCCAAGTCACATCCCACACCTGCCGCAGAGGTATAGTCCTCTGCATTCCCCAAGCTGCAGAAGCAAGGGCACACGGAAGTGTTGAGTTGCCAGCTTTGTTTAAAGCAAACCTGCACTCCCTGAGGCCCGTTCACCTGCCCCACCCAGCTCCACCACAGTGAGTTCCCACAGAAGGAAGCTCAATTGGACAAATCCCTCGCTGTGTCCATCTGGGGCTTTAAAGCTGGCTGCCCTCCTCTGGTGGCCCACCTGCTCTGCTCTCCTTCCATGCTCCTGTGGGCCTCACAACAGCTCACCATCTTCTACCTATGATTCCTGCTGCTGGAATGCACCCTTTTCTGGTAGGGTGTGTGGCTGTCCCAGAAGCTCCACTACCTTCTACAGAGCACATGTGCAGTGCATGTGCACAATTTGAAACTTTCCCATTATTATCATATAGCCAAATACATTGTTTAGGTTTCAGCACCTATCTACGTTCACTTGATCCCTCAAATCTTTGAGTACACGCACAATTTCTAATTAGCAGGCAGCATCAGAACAAGAAAACAGTAGACATTTAACTTCTTGACTTTATTTTCTATATTAACATTAATAAATTTCATTTTCAAAAAAAAAAAAAGAGCTCTTCCACTCCTAACATTTCTTGCTCCCTATATCAACACAAAATGTGTTTCCCGATTTGCTGGTAACTTGCAAAATTCTGGATACTTGAAGTAGGTAAGAGCAATATAACTATAACTATATATAACTAAATATAGTTATGTCACAGGCCTCCGTGCGTGGAAACCATTTGAAATGGGATTCTCAGGAACAACATTTGAAAAACACAGAGATCACCTTTCACATCCATCAGATGAAACACCATGACATGACTGGGGCACAGTGTGTGTCCTCCAACCCACCCTGCCCTTGCACCACTCAGAAGGTGGATGGGTCTCTTTAAACAATAGACATGGAATTCAAAGGGGTGGGAGAAGCTGCTGGAACTGAGCCTAGCTCAGGCCCTGGCATCCCCACTGGCCTGAGAGGCCTCTCCTGCCTGGGCCCTCTCATTCTCATCTCTCAAAGCCTCGTCATACAGAGATGAGAAGGATCTGGGATTCACCTGATTGAACTTGGCCAAATGCTTCAGGACTCTCATCTTGGTGGTTTCAGCATGGGCCCTGGGACCCCACAGGAACTCGTAGCGAGCAGGATCACTGTGGGGCACCTGCCGGTACTCAATATACCCTTCCCGCACCCACTCCTCCGTGAGGAGCTTCCGGGGCTCCCCGTAGAGGTGGTGCTCTCTACCATCATACACTTCCATCACACTCAGAGATTCCCACAACTCCTCCTCAGGGGCACAGTTGCCTTTCGAGAAGATCAGGCCCAGGACCATTATCAGGAAGCTCGTCTTGGGCATGCTCTGATGATGATCCTGCATCCCATCATAGGTGAGGCCCAGGGCTGTTTCAAGCATATAGCAGTGCTGATTGGGGTCTACTACCCTCAAATCAATGCCAAGGGCCACCTGTAGGCAATTCAACACCTTACTGAAGATCTCATGGAAATGCCCTTTGTACTCTCTGATGACATAAGACAGCATTTCGGCCCTGGTGAACAGCTCCTTCATCCGATATTTACGGAGGAGGAACTGCATCAACTCACACCTTTTCACATCTAGTGCTTGCTCGAGTAGGGCCTCAGGGCTTGCTTCATCCTGAGAGGCCTCTGCACTACCATGGGATTGACTCCCTGCAGTGTACCTACGGTGAGTGACAGAGCCAGTACTTGGAAGGACCTGAGCACCACTGGATGGCCCAGCAGCAGACACCTCCCTTTGGGTGGGCAAAGCCAGAGGAGAGGAGGAAGAGGCAGCATCCCCCTGTCTCACACTGAGCAGAGCTGTCTTGAAGCCCCCTTCTGGTGCCTCTTCTCCAAGGTCTCCCACAAGCTTGCAGAGCCGACACTTATGAGACCGAAGAACCATGCTTGTCCTGGGTTCAGATGGCACACGGCTGCGTGGTGTGGATGACACACCTGGAAAAAGAAGAGGGGGTATGAGTGACTGAGCTGAGTACCACAGTCTTGATGGCAGAGATGAAGGCCACTTTCAGGCTTTCTCTTGGTGTAGTATAGCAGGGCATGTAAGGATGCCACGTGGCTGGTTGGATTGTGCCCTGAGAAGTGGAAGGAAGTAGGGAGCCCCGTGTCTTCCCAAGGCTGTGGCCGACCACCCCAACAGTAGAGCCCAAGTTTCCCATAAGGACAACAGGGAGGGTTGGGGGAGAAGGCTGGGTGCTATGGGGTCACCTTGTTCGTGGGTCCGTTTCCAAGGGTTGCACCTCATCTTGACTCTTGGAGCTGCCTCGCCCTTTCTTCTCTGTGACCTGAAGACTGCCTCAGACCAAGATTTCACCAGATGATGGAGCTCCTGCAAGATGAAGTGTGGGGCATTTCAGGCTGCAGACTTGAAGCAACTTCCTGGGAATGTGATTTCTCACAGGGGGTACACCTGAACCTGTGCTGCCTCCACTCTGCTGGTGTTCAGAATTCCTATTTGCTTGGCACCTGTTGTTGAGATCCTCAGAGTGTCTCCACCAAGAGACAATGTATCTCAGCTCCGAGGGAACAAACTCCGTGTGGGCCTTCCATCTGAGCATGCCTGAGCAGGCTCAACAGAAACAACTGGTACAATGTAACCAACTGGTGCAGTGTAAACAGGTGGTACAAGGCAGATGCTCCTACTGAAACCTAATCTTGGCTGACAAAGTAGTAAGGCTGATTCTGTTCCCATGAGCCTCATCTCTGTCTTCACTTGGAGAACCCTCAATATTGGCACCTGAGCCTCTAGATGACACTGGGTATGTCACAAGACCAATAGATGGTTTCCTTGTGGTGATATCATGCCCTCTGAGCAAGCTCCTCACTTCCCTGTGTGCATGCAGATGGACGTGACATTCCCACCCATGTGCTGTCACTGTGTGGGGTCTCTGGAGACACCAGTCAATTTCTATCTTTTATCCACGCGGGGCTACATCACTTCTCTTGTGCCTCATTCATCTGGGCACCTGTTAGGACCTGTCCTGCTCACCCCACCATGTCTGAATTAAACTAGCTACCATCTTAACAACGAGAACTCTACTGCTAAAGAACTCCCCCACCCCCCATGCCTGAATCAAGCTGAACTTTCCCTTAACAATGGGAACTCTGCTCATAAAGAACTCCCCACATGCCTGACCCTGGAAGAAGTGTGCATCCTATTTAAGGTCCTTCTTATGCTAACCACTGCCTGAGCCAGCAGGAGAACAGGAGTCCATTACATGCCATCAAACCCCTTTTGTTTTTCAGCCTAGAGCTCTCCGAGTTATCCCCAGTTGCCCATACCTTGGTTTCTGTTAGATCCTCAGAGTCCTCCCTCTCCTGAGTGAATGCGAATCCTGGTGATGGCCAATAGCCTCTCTTCCAACCAAGGCACCCGACTTCTGGAGGCTAGTGAGCCCTGGACACCCTGCATGAGGTTTCCAAAGAAACATAAGATTTCAAGGGACCTTCTTTCCCTTTTCTTGGGTTTCTCCATACTGAGCCTCGGGGCCCCCAGCCACTTTTCTATTTTGTAACTGTAGCTACTTCTTGTAGAGGAAGAAAACAATAGGTCTCAGATCTCTCCCCACACTGGGGTCTGTTCCTGCCAGGGCTGGACTAGGTTAGGGTCCACTATGTGGGTGAGAAAAATCTGCCCAGGCCTCTGCAGGGCCCTTGGGCTCTTCCCTCTGCTGACCTGAGAGCAGCTCCTCACATCATGACTCTGCTTCTCTGAAACCCTGAAACTCTGTGCAACACTGGCTGCGAATTCTGGGACTGAGAGCAGGGCAGAATTTGACCCTTTGTTCTGGAGAATAAAGGTCTCTTCCCTCTGTGTCCACCCTGCACTTGTGGAAAGGCCGGCTCCCCACACCTCTGCTAATGCGAGTGCCCATCTGCAGATTGCCAAGAAACCTTTCAGGAAGCCTGTGGTTGACACAAGTGTCAGAGTCCTCAGGCTGCCCATGCTGGTTCCTCCCTGTCTCCTGTGCTCCCTAAGGAATCGGCCTCTGTCAGTCAGGCCGCTAAGCCCTCAGACCAGGGGCCCATTCTAGACGCTCGGGGTGGTTCTCCTGGGCTGATAGCAGCATCCGGCTCTTCGGGAGGCCCTGTTTCTGGAGCCTTCGGTCCCCCTCTGCTCCCTGGGCCTCCCTGCCATGGCTGACAAGTCAGGGCCTCCCTGGTCCTCCCCGAGGCTCTCCCTTCTCTCAGCCCCATGTCAGGGGAGGCACAGCTGGCGCCCATGGGTGGAGCTGCCCAGGCTGCCCAGGGCACCACAGGCCTCGGGGGCTTCTCGTGGGGGCCGGTTGGGGTGCCCTCACCGCTATGTCTCTCAGGGCCTGTGTGGGGCCTCTGTGCCCACGACTCGTGGCCGCGTTTCCTCTCCACGTGCCTGTGGGGTGGGCCACGCTCACGGCCCGGATATACGCTAGGCTCACGGTCCCCCGTGGGCCCAGGCGGGCCAGGCCTGGACAGCAGGGCCTGATCTGGGTTCTTGGATCCTGCGAGGTGGGCTGGGGCTTCCTGGGTGCCCCCCTCAGTGTCTCCCTCCTCCCACAGCCGGGGCCCATACCCTCAGAACAGCCCACGCACGGACCTCAGCTGTTCCTCTTGGCTGAGGAGCTGGAAGGCCGGGGAGCACTGGGCATCCGGGTCCCCCGGGCAGCTTCCGGGGGTGGGGGTCGGGGCGTGTCGCCTTCCCCGGGGAGGTGTTACGTTCCACGGGCCCCCCGTCTGCCTGAGACACCTGCCCTGGGTGCCTGGTGTAGTCCAGCCCCTCCTTGCCAACTTGTGTCTGCTCCCCTGGTGCCAAGGTTCCGCCCTCTGACGTGGTCCTAGCCTGCCCTGGGGTCAGGGGTGCGGCTCCTGGTGCTGCTGGGGTGCCCCAGGACTCAGCTGAATGTGTGTCTGTGTGTGTGGTGGTGTCTTCTGTTTTTAGGGTGTTGTCTTCTCCTGGCTTCTCTACCGTATGATCTGCTCCACGCCTGGTGTCCCTGCCTCCCAGTTTTTGTTGTAGGGCAGCCTTTCCCAGTATGGCCTGTGAGTGGCATGCCAAGTATAACCTACTGCCTGTAGGGCACCTACTTCGGACTGTGAGAGGCAGGCAGGTCTCCCGTGTGTGCTTTCAGCAAGTAGAGGCATCAGGTCCTTGAAAGGTTCCTGGAATACGTCCTTACCAAGTTAGGATTGATGTAAGTTGATAAAGAGGCAACACAGTTCACAGATCTCCAGACATAATTCTAAGAATGAAATGAAATATCTGTGCTTCCCTCCGCCTTCTGGTCTTAGCTATTCATGATCGTAAGAACATACTTCCTGTTTACTTTACAATCGTAGACCTAAGAATCCACTGAATACAATGCTCATCACATGTAATGTTGACAGACCAGCAGTCCTCGGCACTATGGACATAGATGAAACAGGCATCAATTCCTGAGCTGTAATTCCACACTTACACATTCAGATGAGAGAAAGAACTAGGTAAAGGCAAATGCAATTTGTATCTGTGGCTGCATCTATTTTCATAACCACATGTTTGTATCATGTGATCAAAAACCTCCTGTTAGAAGCATGTAATCTCCCCCCTACTCGCAGAATCATGACTTTTCCCAAAATTGTGTTTGCTTAATGTATTATCTACTATGTATGTAATGTAACATTTTCTCATCATTCTAACTGTCCAGTTCAGTGTTCTGAAGTATCAAGCTGACCACTCCCTTATACCAAGGCCTCATCTGCCTGACCTCTCCCCAACAACCATCCCCTGTTAGAAATGGAGACTTCTAGCGGCATCCTTCTTCTTCTTCTTCTTTTTCATTTTATGAAAAAGATGTGTTTATTTATTTTTTCTTTTTATTTTGTTCTATGACAGTTTCATAGGCTCTGGGATTCCCCCAACCACTCGCCTTGCCCTCCACCCATATTGGATTCCTCCACATTGTTGCAGTAGTACAGCTCATATTCAGTCATGATTCCTTCATTGTGAGCATGTACCATGCATAGAGTCCAGCACCTTATTGTCCAGATCAATTCAACAGTTTCATTGGGAAACCATCCCTGGTCTGAAAGTAGAGCTGGCAGAGTATTATCCCTCCAATCTTTCATGGCTTAGAACCAGGGTATCAAGACTGTGGGGCCTCTCTGTGAAGGCTGGGGGGCACTTTGAGTTCTCATAAATGGCCTATCCCTGGCACCCTGAGCTATCTTGCCCTGTTCTCCACGTGTGGCTTATGGCACACTGAAACATCACCTCCCATTCTTCCCACTTGCTCTCTTTAGAACTTCAGAGAGCTGCAGCTGCCTCTTCCTTCTTTGAAATATCGGTGGCAGTTATTTATCCATAGGACAGGCACAGGTGCAGAGAAAAGAAAGAGATAGAGAAAGACAGAGATCTTCCCTGCACCTACCCAGGCTATGGCTACAATGACAAGGCCTGGGTCAGGTGAAACCAGAGCAGGGTGTCCCTCATGAGTGTCTGAGGCCCAACTCCTCGGCCTATCTTAAGCTGCCTTCCCCGGCATGTTAACAAGAATCCAGATTGGATGAGGTGTCTGAGAGTTCCAATGTTTTCCTAGTCCAATAGCTTACAATACAGGACAAATACTGGTGTCACTTCTCACATCACACCCTTCACCTCTTGGCTGAGCTGAGTGCCTTCGAGGGGAGAACACTCTTCAGAGATCATGGAGCTCTCACACTGTGGAATGTCTATGACATTCATAAATTATATCATAGAATTTGTATGCATCTCTAATTTGTATTTCTCTCTCTAAAAGGTAACCGAGCTTAGCATACAAGAATGCAGCCACTTTAAAACTCTATGTGAGTAGAAGCAAAAATTATCTTTCCATATTTGTTGCTATTATTGTCTCCTGAGGTATGTCCCTTACAGGAGCAACAGCTTAA